GGGGGCCCCGCCAGCCCCGGAGGCAGCAGACAGAGCCAGGCACTCACTGAGAAGTGGATGGATGCCCAGCAGGGAGAAGTCCAGCTCCTTCACCCTCTTGACGGACGCCGGCGAGGGGCCAGGCCGGGAGTTGAGGTACTGCTTGTGCGCGTTTTCCGACACCCGGTGCAGGCTCTGCAGGTCCAGCGAGCGCTCGCGCTCAGCGAGTAGCAGACACTCCTCGTCATCGACCACGCTCTGGGGGACTCTGCCAAGCACCCCGTCCCTGTCTGCAGTGGGACACAAGGGGCTGGGAACCCATAGCCTCTGCCCACGGGGCCCACACCTCAGCCCATCCCACCTGGCCACGGCTCGCAGCCAGTGCAGGGCCTCAGCAGCAGTCTGCTATGGGGGTCTGGGCTGGGACTGGCCCAGGGCATTCCCACACCCCAGCCTGCCCACTGCCCCTCCGAAGAGCCATTCCAGACTGGACAGCAGCATGGGCACAGCACCTGGGGTCCTGGGGACACAGAGGGAGAGGTCCAGTGGGAGGAAGCTGCAGTCACCGCCCTGAGCCAGGGTACATCAGCGCTGAGGGACGCAGTGAGCAAGGCCGGGGAACAGTGAGTCCCCCTCCCGTGAGCACATTCTGCCTGGCAGGGGAGCTCAGAATCACTGCCAGAGCCCCCAGCACAGACACACAAGATGCTTCCTCACCCCAGCCCGGGCAGCGAGCCATGACCCTGACAGACCCAGGGCTCCGGGAGCCATGGGGCCTCTCTGCCTGTGTGAGGCCCAACCCCAGCAGGGATGCTGAGCGACAGCCCCAACGGCACCTCTGGGCCCTTACCTGAGGGTTTCTCGTGGGGGCTGGCAAGGGTGAGCGGGCGCCCCAGGAACAGGTGCAAGTCAAAGACATAGGCGGTCTCATCCGGTGCCACCAGGGAGTAGGCTGTCCCACTGCGGCCGGCGCGGGCCACGCGGCCTGGGAGGGAAAGCAAGGCACGCTAGCACCGCGCTACCTCCGTGGCTGCAGAGCCCGCGGGGCACGACTGCTGTGCCTGCTCTGGCTGCAGGCAGGGACTGAGGCCAAGGAGCCAAGCTGCTGCTCAGAGAAGGGCTGGTGTTAGGCTGCCATGCCCGCTGCAGATGGCGACTCTAGTCCTAGCCCTACAGATAGATGTTCCTGTTCCCCTCCCACCCAAAGTGCTGCACAGGGCCCAGCCCTGCCCAGACAGCAGGGAGGCCAGGCAGCAGAGGGACGGCTTCCCTCCCCTGTGGCCTTTGGCAGCCTGGCGCAGCCGTGGCCAGGGCGGGAGGGGCAGATCGATGGGAGCAGGACGGCAGGCTGTGCCCCCCCACTCTCCCAGACACCCACCGACGCGGTGCAGGAACAGCTTGGCCTTGGCAGGAAAGCTATAGTTGATGACATTGTCCAGCATGGGGATGTCGATGCCGCGGGCAGCCACGTCAGTGACGATCAGCACCGCGCACTGGCCCTGCACAAACTTGGCGATGTTGATTTTCCGGGCTGCCTGGTCCAGGGAGCTGTAGACATGGGCACAGCTCACGCCCTGAGCTGTCAGCAACTGGAGAGAGGAGGGTAGAGCAGGGCTCACTGCCCAGCCCCCAGCGGGAGAGGGGACAAGAAAAGGCAGAGCCAAGGCAGACAGCAGAAGGGAGGAGAGATTCCATCGAGCGGCTGCTCCCCTCCCATACAAAGGCTGGACCCGCCCACCAGCCTCCTCCCGGCGACACGGGGCTCTGCTGACGAGCAGCATCCTGGAGTCAGGCAGGAGCCCTCGGGAAGGAAACCTGGGCTCATCTCCGATCCCACGCAGACCCCTAGAGCTCTCCTGGAGCCTACGCAGCAGGAGCGCAACTAGCCGGGTGCTAGGTCTGCCCGTGGCCGGCTGCAGCCACGGGGCTAAGGAAGGGGCAGGACCAGCGCCACCACACCCCTGCTGAAGGGAGAGCAGCACCGCCAGCTCCGTCTTTTCCCACAGGGTTTGGTCAGAGCCCCCCTCTGCTTTGGTCTCAGCACTGTGTCCCCCATCGCCCTCCCAGAGCTCCAGCCGGCACACTGGTTCCCCGCCTTGCCTCCTTGAGGTACTCCACGTGGTGCTTGGTGGCCACGAAGACAAGCGTCTGGTCCTGAGGCCTCACTACGTTCCTCAGCAGGTGCAGCAGCACGGCCGGCTTGTCATCCGGACGCACGTGGAAGAAGGCCGTCTGTCAGCAGAGAGAGGGGTAGGGTAGGGCAGGGCAGTGTAGGAGCCCCCTGGAAGCTACCCAAGGCAGGCGTGATGGGGCTAACAATGCAGGCGGTGCTGCACACAATCCAAGGGCTGGAAGAAACTTCAGGCCACGCAGTCCAACTACTTGCTCAAAGCAGGCCCAGCCCCAACAGTCATCCCAGCCAGGGCGTGAACCTCTAGAGATGGGGACTGGAGCCCGTTGCTCCTCGCTCTGCTCTGCCATCTGCCCCCGAGAACAGCCTCTCTGGAACCCCCTTCTGGGAGCTGCAGGCTGCGATCAAATGCCCCCTCGCTCCGCTCTTCTGCCCAGTCCCTCAGCCTCCCCTCGCAGCTCACGCGCTCCAGCCCCGAATCATGTTTGCTTTCCGCTGGGCTCTGGCCAACGTGTCCTCCTCCTGTCCATAGCGGGAGCCCCAGAAATGGATGCAAAACTCCAGCTGTGGCCTCCCCAGTGCCAAACAGAGGTGAATAGTCACTTCCCTACAACTGGCGACAATGCTCCTCCTAAGGCAGCCCAGTACGCCATGATCCTACCCCATCCTCCAGTGTATCTACCGCTTCCCCCCACCGCAAACTCGCTGAGGGTGCAGCCCATCCCCTCCGCCAGAGCACGAATGGAGATTTTGAACAAGAGGCCCCAGGAAGGACCCTGGAACACTCCGCTTATACTGGCTGCCTCCTGGACCAGCTGTTGAGTCCACCAATCTCGCCTGCTTTCTATCCACCATCCATCCAAGCCATACTTCCTGAACTTGCTGGCCAGAGTCCTGTGGGAGACCGCAGCCAAAGGTCTGGCATCGAACACTTTCCCCATCTCCCCAGACACAGAAGTGGCCAGGCAGGACTCGCCCTTGGGGAATCCCTGTGGACAGTTCCTGCTCTGCTGCAAGTGTTTCAGACTGGATTCCTTGAGGATTCCATTCCTG